GTATATAGCGGCTTGTGTACCATGCCAAACCACCAAGTACTCAACACAAAAGCCAGGCGGCCTGTTACAACCGCTCCCTATTCCAGAGCGCGTGTGGGACTCCGCATCAATGGATTTCATCACAGGGCTACCAGGGTCGCGTGGGTTCACGTCATTATGGTCGTAGTAGACCGTCTCTCTAAATATGCTCATTTTGGTCCGCTCTCCACTGGCTTTGACGCACAAAAAGCAGCACACGTTTTCACCGACATTGTGGTGAAACATCATGGGTTTCCCGTAACAATTATTTCTGACCGGGACGCCATATTTATGAGTACATTTTGGCGGGAGTTGATGAAATGCAGTGGCACCGCGCTCAAATTTAGCACTGCCTACCATCCGCAAACCGATGGCCAAACGGAGGTCATGAACCGTGGTCTCGAACAATATCTCCGGGCTTTTACTTTCGAGCGACCACATCGATGGGCTACTCTCCTGCCTTGGGCAGAGTTAGCCCTTAACTGCAGCCACCATGCCGGCCTCAACATGTCCCCCTACCAAGCTTTGTACGGTCGGCAACCTCCGCACCTATTCCCCACCTTGTCCACACATGCTCGCACGCCCACTGTCGTTGAAATGCTGCAGGAGCGGGCAGAAGTTCTGGAGGATATTCGCACAAATCTCACAAAAATGCAACAACAAATGCGCGAGCGGGCCAATTCACACCGTCGGGACGTCACTTTTCAGGTGGGCGACCAAGTCCTCCTCAAGATACAACAGTACCGCCAGCACTCTCTCGCCCGTCCACGCTCGTCCAAACTTGCTCGGCGATATTATGGGCCATTTGAGGTGATCGAGCGCATTGGTCCGGTCGCATATCGCCTTCGCCTCCCCGACGGCTGCCACATTCATGATGTCTTCCACGTCTCTCTATTGCGGCCATTTGTCTCCAGCCACCAGCCGCTGCCTAGTCCTTCCCTACCGGCTGATCTGTTGCGTGGACGAGAGGTGGCAGTCCCTCTGTCTGTTGGCATGCGTCGTACAGTGCTTGACAACGGCAACCCACAAGAACAATGCCTCGTCCGTTGGTCCGATGATGGCGGTGCACTGACCACGTGGGAGCCCATCGAACACTTACGCAAACATTTTCCAGATCTCGACCTTGAGGACAAGGCCGTTCTCAACCCCGGGGGAGTTGATACGGGCCTAACGTTGCACGAGGAGTTATCGGATACGGGCCATGATGCTATTCCTGCAACACGTGAAGACCATGCAGATTGTGAGGAGGAACGTGAGGAAGTCCAACAGACCGGACGGCCGAAGAGGAACACACGGCGACCTCAACGTTACCAGGATTACGTTTAATAATTTTTATGTTTACTTTATATTTGTACTTTAGTATTTTTTTAGGTGGACGAATTATAAGTCCCTTCAAGGGTTTTCTTTTCGGTTCTTTCCCTTGACGCTTTTCTTGAACCGACAGGATTAGGATTAGGGTTTCTCTACCATTATATAAAGGGAACACCCTTGCTTTGTTACCCAAGCAATAATACAAAGATTTAGTTTAGTAGAATTCCTTTTCTCTCTCTCTTCTTGCACGGACGAAACTCCCCAGAAGCAACCCAACGTTGCTGTCTAGGGTTTCTCGTTCCTTGTTCGCCAAGGTTCTTTATCATGTTGTGAGTTTTTTTTCCCATGATTCAAAAACAAACACAATTCCTGTTTTGTTCACGAAATACAGGGAGAAGCCGACAAAGGCTATTCTTGAGGCATTGAGAGATGAGACAATGAATGATCCCCGTGAGCGTATTGAGATTGCACAAAGCCATGCCTTCTATAGACCTTCACTACTTGGGAAGTAACTTTTCTTTGGGGGGGGGGGGGGNGGGCTCTATTCGAATTTATTCAAAATCTTCTATGAAAATAGCTGTATGTGTTCTTAGTAGCTTTTGTTTTAAGCTTTTATGTACACTAGTGTGTGTCAAGAAAATTGTTTTTATCATGGCTTCTTTGGCAATCCTGTACCGACCATGTAAGGATTATGGTTTATGAAGCATTGTATTAATATTAACAGTACTATTATTTTTATTATTATTTGATGGAATTGGTATTATTAGACTAAATTCCATTCATTGGTCGCGTGTTGGCACTGCTAGTTTTGGTCCTTGATTAACTCACTTTATGGGGCTGCTGAAGGATGAGTACAGTTTTCACCTTACTCTAATGCCATGCTTGGTGGTAAGACTGGGCGTAAATGCGTAATGCCCCACGCCTAACCGCCGTGGCATTGCCACGTTTTCACGTGACCACGCGGAAGACCCCCCCCCCGGTTGAGTCTGTTTGTGGTCGAAAGGCCGTGGCCACGCTGAAATCTTCTGCTTCTTTTCTCTTCTTTTTTTTTTTTTGCTTTCCCCCCTCCACAATGGTTACTTTACATAAAAAATTTAAATTCAAATTTCGAACCCCTTATACTCGCTTTTCTCTTCTATTTAAACCATCTAATCTTTATATTTTTTAACACATTCCATTCTTATTTCTTTGAGTAAATTCCCAAAATAGTCCTTTGAAATAAGGTGTTTTCTCAAATTAGTTCTCAATAAGTTTTAGGCCTTGTTTGGACGTTGGCTGTCAGCTGTTGGCAGTTCGTGTCAGCTCTTGTGAATGACTGTTTAGTTTAGCTGGTTTGACTGGCAGAATGAATTGGTTGATCGTTAAAAATGTTTGGTAAAATTAGCTGTTTGAAAATAGTTTTATATATATATATATATATATATATATATATATATATATATATATATATATATATATATAGACACACACACACGATATTTATTTTTCATTTTTTAACATGTAAAAATTAAATCTTTACTATATGGAGTATTAAATTTTAATTTCATTTAATTCATAATAAATTATAAATATAAATTTTTTAAATGATTTTTTGCTTTTTTCTCTCATTTCATTTTTTGAAATTTTTAAATTTTAAATTTTATTTTTTTAGTATTTAATTTTTTTAACTTTTATTTTTATTTTTTTACATATATTATAAAATATCTTTCAACAAAAATGATTTTAAAAAAATTATTTTTCCTAACCGCCAAGTCCAAATGCTACTCCCCTTGGCATTTCAAATTTTGGCTTTTCGGATCAAAATGCCAAGTGAAAAAGTCATTAGCCAAACAATAATTTTGGCGGTTCGCTTGGTCAAAAAAACCAAAGTCAGTCAAAGATGCCAAAAGCTATCCCAAATGTTGTTTTCCACACACGGCTTTAATTACTTATGTGGCCCTCTATAATTGAGATTTATTCCCAATATGGTCCTTCGTAAATAATGTTACTCAAATGAGCATAAATTGAAGGTATTTTGTTATTCTTTATCTGCTAAATTTAAAATTAATTTTTAAAATGATCATTTATAATGAAGTGCTTTCCTAAAATGATTTTTTCTAATTAAAGATGTGTATTTGATTTGAAATTTAAAAGATTATTTATAAGTTTTAAATAATTCATGAATTATTTATAATCAATGTATATTTTCAATTTTACATTTAGTTGTACAGAAATAACTATTTCGAGAATATACTTTAAATTTGGATGATCAAATTACTAAAAAATCTTCCAATTAATCATCATTTGATTAACATTATTTACGAAAGACTATCTTGGGAATAAATTTCAATTATAAAGGATCAAGTAGGTAATTAAAATTTATTGAGGACTGAATTAGGAAAACACAATATTACATAGGACCATTTCGAGAATTCACTCTATTTCTTTATTTCTCTTCTATTATACTCAAAAGATGAACAATTTTGCTTTCTTCCGATTTGTCTAGTGATGATGAAATATTTACAGGAGTCCAAAATGGAAAAAAATAAATATTCCCCCGTTCTAAATTAAATTACATGTTTATTATTCACATGGTTAAATGTCATTCACTTCTTTTCTCTATTTTCGTTAGTCATTTAATAAAATAAAATAATCATGTCACCACTAGTTTTGTAGTAGATCTTTTGATATAAAATAATTTGAAAATAATTTCAGTCAAACATCGTAAATCGAAATCGACGTTATAAATCGAGACTGAGGGAGTAAAATAGAATAAACCCGAAATTAAATTTTAATTAGTTTATATTATTATTTTAAGAAAGATAGTCTATAGAATTGAATTTAAATAGGAATAGGTAAATATTTAAAAAAAATAAAAGTGTAATTATTGCAGTAAATGTGAAGCACTACAAGTGTAGAGTGAGTGAAATGGTGAGTGTTGTTATCGATAATGTGACGCTGAGTAATGTCAAGTAATAATAATAATAATAATAATAATAATAATAATAATATGATAATAATAATTATATGATGATGATGATAATAATAATAATAATATCAATGGTCCATTTGTTTTAAAATGCTTTATACTTTATGCAAAATGAAATGAATTTTTAAGATTTTTTACTTAATTTCATTTAAATATTGGTATAGAAATTAAAATAAAACTTACATACAAGTTTTAAAAAACAACATCAAAAGTTCAACAAAACAATTCAAGGCTAACAATTTTTTTTATTTTATCTAATAATAAATCAAAATGCACAAATAATAATAATAATAATAATAATAATAATAATAATAATAATAATAATAATAATAATATGATAATAATAATTATATGATGATGATGATAATAATAATAATAATATCAATGGTCCATTTGTTTTAAAATGCTTTATACTTTACGCAAAATGAAATGAATTTTTAAGATTTTTTACTTAATTTCATTTAAATATTGGTATAGAAATTAAAATAAAACTTACATACAAGTTTTAAAAAACAACATCAAAAGTTCAACAAAACAATTCAAGGCTAACAAAATTTTTTATTTTATCTAATAATAAATCAAAACACACAAATAATAATAATAATAATAATAATAATAATTGCATGAGTAACAATAAAATCTTTGTAAAAACGAATCAAATGATGTCTATATACCAAAATAAGACTTATAATTAATGTCAAAATATGTCAATATATATAAAATTTCAAAAGAAAATACTGGTATGAAATATCAATGGATGCCCGCAATATATATCTTGTTGTGATATTATATAGTACCAACAATCTTATTTAGCATGTCCTATCTTAATACTAGTATACGGAGTATATTTTAGTAGGTAGATTTTTTTATAAGAAATTGAGTATGAAATACTCCGTAACACCCATTGAATAAATTAAAAGAAAAAATAAAGTAAATGAGAAGTCATTAATAACTTGTCCTTTGACTACGTCAAATTCAGAGAAATTAAATTATTGGTACGTTCACAACTAGATGATGCATACTAGTCTTTCCATCACGTTGACTTATGGATACAAATGAATCTTCCACGTTCCAAACTCGGGAAACACGTATTCCCTCCATCTATTCTAATGCAAATGATCATTAATTATTACTCCTATATTAGTTCTCAAAACAAGAGGAAGACAATAAGTTTATACTCTTAAGTTAAACTAATAATCGAGTAGATTTAATCATAATGTAGTTTGGTTAAAGTGTCTTATTCAATCTTACATCATATTAAATTCTGTAATGATATACCTTATTTGTAAAGGTGTCTGTCTAGATATTCGTTCTTAACAGCTCGCGAGTCTTTAATTAGACTAGTTGTCCGTATGAAAAACAGTATGTGACTCATTTAACACGATTGTTCGTTTCGAAGGCCACATCGAGCGAGTTGCGGTCCTCTCGAAGGAGTATATAATCTGTTTGTTTTATTTATTTTGTAATGAAGGCAGAAAGTCATAATGGTCGGCTATTTAAGAACTACATTTGTCCCACAAAGTTCCTATTTTGATTTTTATGATAGTTAAGGAAGAGATATTTTGTGTTGCCTTTTTCAAATTACACTTACAGTGATGTGTTAAAATAGAATGTGATAGAACAACTATTAGCAAATATTCCCTCCGTCTCAAAAAGTCTTTCCTGTTTCATTTTTTGCGCATCCCATAAAACACTTCTACCCACATTTAAAATGCCTAAAATTTACAACATTTCTTCTTTATTGTGGATAGAAGTTAATTTGAAAGTTTTTTTTTGGCATTCAAGGCGGGATAGCAGTGTTTTATGTGATACGCAAAAAATAAAACAGGAAAGACTTTTTGGGACGGAGGGAGTATGTGTGATATGACACGTAAGATAAGAATTAGTATGGATAAAGTTAAATTTAATTTTTAATTAAAGGAGAGAGATTGTGGAACACAAAAAAAGAGAAAGTTTGTGGGTCCGAGGGAGTATCATTCTTAAAATTAATTATTTAAATATATACCTTTTTAAAATTATTTTATATTATGAGTTTGAGTTATTTATTTAAAAATAGTTGTAGCACTTACAGTAAGAAAAAGAAAAATATAAAATTAGTAGAATCTGATGTGATACTGATGTTGAGGAGCGAGATAATGCAGTAAGAAGAATATAAAGGATATGTATACCCTCTACCCTAATGATAATTGGTTTGACACTTTCATTTTGAACCAAACTAAATTATTTGTTAATTAATACTCCGTATTTAATTAATTTGAAGGAGTAAAATTAATCAAACATTATACATTTCCAATTATCTATTATTCTAAACTCCATCATATCCTTCCCATTTTTATCTTTGTTTTACGGCTTACTTTAATTAATTATTTCAAATCAACTCAATTTAAGTATAAATGCAAAATTTAAAAATAAATTTATACATTTGAAACTATAAGAAAAGTTTTATAAAAAGTGTGGGTGTTACTACGTACCGAGTATTTTAATTCACCTTCCACATTTTAAGACAGATAAAACAAACTTTAATCATTAATTACTGAATACTTTAATTAATTTGTATTGCATATTAAAACTTTGTAACGTACAATGAAATAAATTTTGGAAATTTTCAAAAGAAACCACTCCAAATAAAACTAATACATAGAGAAAATATAAAAATATGAATTTCATATTTTTATTCCCTAAATAAAAGTTCACATTGTGATAATGTGTCACTGTACATGTGCATTTTACGTAATGTACATGATCATGATTGGTAATGTTAATGCATTTTAATTCCTATTTCAGAAAAAAAAAAAGAAACACGTATTTTGGTATATTTTCACTGTTTAACTCCTACTTTAGGTTTTTTTCCTAATTTTCAACAACATAAAATTATTGAATCATTTTTTACTAACATACACTACATATTTTATTTAAATTATTTTTAGAACGACAATATTAATATATTCCTTATTAAATTAAAATATATAAAAAGCTAAAAGTACAAAAATTTTTAAGGAGAAGATTTTCCACATACCTGTCCCCTATGAAACAATTGAATGTTCAAAATTTGGCACCCATATAAGAATTGCTACCCCTATTTATACCCATTCCTCTTATCCATTATTTTCCATAACAATTAATTAACATTACATTACATTCACCCTAAAAGAAAAATAATGGGACTCATATTCAAAACCCTTTCCATTCTCTCCCTCTCCCTAATCCTCCTCCTCCCTCTCAACACTCATGCAGCCACCTTTTTCATAAAAAACAACTGCCCCTACACCGTGTGGGCAGCGTCCCTGCCCACAGGTGGCGGGCAGCAGATAAACACTGGCGGCACCTGGTCCCTGAATGTGGCGCCAGGCACCACCAGCGGCCGCATATGGGGCCGCACGGGTTGCAGCTTCGACGGCGCGGGGAACGGGCACTGTCAGACGGGCGACTGCGGCAACGTCCTAGCGTGCAGGCTCTCGGGGGCCCCGCCAACGACGCTGGCGGAGTTCTCCCTCAACCAGCCCAACAACTTGGACTTCTACGACCTCTCGGTGATCGACGGGTTCAACGTCCCGATGTCCCTCGCCCCGACGTCCGGCGGGTGCGCCTCCCTCCGGTGCCCCGCGGATAAGTGCTCCGACGCCTACCTCTTCCCGGCGGACAATTCTAAAACCCACAGCTGCCCTTCGGGGACCAACTACAACGTTGTTTTCTGCGGATAGTCCTTCACTTCTCTATATGATAATCATAATAATAATAATAATAAATTGATAATAATGGCTATTATATTGATGTAATAAGGCAATGAAAAAAAAAAAGATGGAATGTAATAAGGCAATTAATGTCATTATCGATCGCCACATCCACCTCATGGACGGGTGATATATATGATACACATACAAAGAGTTCGACTTCTCTATGTATACTGCTCCCAAATTATTATGTTTGATTAAAGTTATTTTTATATCAGTTTATACGAAAAAAGTATATGATAAAAAAAATAAGAAAAATATATTTAAAAACTACATTAAAAAATTAATTAAACTATAAGTGTTATGACTATATTTTCGGAGTTCAATTCAAAATTCGATCAGATAAAACTCAAAGTTATCAAGAACAAGTATGAATCTGTTGTGAGTTTTTAAACTCTCTGTTTTCGACCAAGGAACAACGGGATCTATAGAGCCGCGGAAGGGAAGAGGCTGCGGTCGTGTCTCTCGTCCAAAACGTGCGTCCCTTTGCGCGAAATTTGAGAAAACTGTGGTGTACCTTTCGAAAAATTTTCTTTAAGAAAATTTGAAAATTAAAAATTCAAATGAACTTTTAACATACTCTCCCCGTTTCTTAAAACCCTTCCTCTTTCATTTTTTTTGTTTTTCTTAAAACACTTCCTTTTTCTATTAAAAAACCACTTTTACCCCTACTTTTTAATACCCTACCTATCACATCATACTTTTTCACTAATAACTAAACTATCATATCTTATTTTTACCCATCACATCAAGGGCAAAATTGGAAAGTCAACTAAAATTACACTTTTCTAATTTTTTCCCAGAGTCAAAACAAGAACCGTTTTAGGAAACGGAGGGAGTAGTACTTTGTCCAAAATAAAAAATTATCTCGACCCCAACCAGGAGTGCTCTGCCCCTTGGACTTCACAAGTTAGAATTGAAGTTAGACTCGTGGGGCCTTTAACTTTTTTTTATTAAACTTTGGACCAACAATAACTCTAAAAATGTACTCTGTATTTGTAAAAATTATTAAAAAGTATTACTTCCGTCCTTATTTATTCATGTAATTTGACTTTCATAAGACAATCTTCAATCAAATAAATAGATATTTTGTTGTAAATTAATATACAAACACAACTTCGTAAGATTTATCTTCTGAAAAAATTCAAAAATTACACTGTATTCTATTACACTAACATGTAACACAAATCTAATGTAGTAATTGATAATTAAAAATTTATCTAATTTGACTCAAAAAATCAAACTAAAAAAAAACACTTTGTGAACAGAAATGATAACAATAATTATATTTTAAAAAAAATCAACACATATTATGGTATAACTTTACATTTTAATTGATTCTTATACTATTATTTCCTCTGTCCCACAAATTAAATGGCTTGTATACTATCCATATGGTTGAACTTTATTTGCTTTATCGAGTACCAAAAGACAGTTAAAAAAAAAGAACAGAAAGAGTAAGAAAGATGAGAACTAAACTGAACTCCGGCAAGTAAATTAATGAATGTGAGGAAAAAGGATCCAAAATGTTATTCTAAGCCTCATCAATAAAATACAACAGATCCATAGAATTCCCAACACGTATGAAGAGCAGTGACTAAAAGGCAATGGGTGTGGGGGAAAGGATGGATTAGTTCCCAAATCCCAAGAAAAACAATAATTTTACACCTTTAAAAAAAAGACCATTCTATGGATATATAGATTTTGTGTGTGACAACCAAATGAGGATTTTAAGCTGTTGTAGCATGTGAAATCAGGGAGACAATAATAATGCACAGCACCCACCCCAAGAGTCACAAGAATTTCTCATCAAACCTTATAATAATAGTAGACCAGTTCAGAATTTGATGTGATGAGGTTTACCAGGACAGTGTTTTCACCCCCAAAAAAAAACACAAACCACTTCAGTAGAATGTTGCTGCTTTTGACGGGCCCACCGACCGACCGACCTTTTCTAGGATGCTCCCTCTGTACTAACCTACGAAGACGACAACATTTTACGTGTGATTCTCCTGTGGGTGCCTTTTGTTGTCCCTTTCCGAATGCCCCACAAGTTTGCCGCTCCTACTTCTGTCCTCCGGTAAGTCATGGTGTGAGTGGTTGTGGGTTGCTGGGTATTCGTGACGATGCTTTCCCTCTGCTGGAGGGGTACTTGCCTTCCGCTTACGGTTAACCGACTTGGGCGAATGGTGGGCCCCCTTGTCCGCAGCATCACCAAAAGGTCCCAATTCCCCTTCTTCCACATTATTGGGCGCCGCCTCCCCACCTTTGGTCACCACTCCTTGGTCGTGCTCTGCGCCGTTTGAAGACTTGGACCAGCTTTGCCTTCTTTCCCATTTCCCCTTCTCACCATCATCCGAGGCGGCTATCTCTATCCCGTCCTCCAATTCTCTTTCGATGAGGTCATCATCGTCCAGAACATCGACCTTCCTAGCAGCGTCCCCACGGGACTTCCTGCTTCTCTCGAGTGCTGCTTTGACTTTGTCTTTGTCTATCTTCTTGATGACCTCTTGTGGAGACCGGCCAACTGCAGCCCCTTCCTTGTGGTGGGGTTCCAGGGCCCGACCGACGTGCAGCTTGTCCTTCATTTGTTCTATTCTCCCACCATTTCCTTCGGCTAGCTCATCTTCCCCATTCCCATGGCGAGGCAACGGCGGCCCTCTTTCACGGTTCTGCTTATCGCTGATCTCACCGGCATCACTGAATCGGTCTGAAATGCTCTTTTCAGAACTTGCGTAGTCATTGCTGCGGTTTTGACTGCCCCTATCATGATTATCGGCATGCGAATGATCGGGGATTGGCTTTTGAGAGGAGGAGGCTTTGGAGATCCCTGACTTTGATGATGTGGCAGCACCGCCACCATGAGAATTGTTGTTCAGAATGTGGTCTTCATCTGCACAGGAAACACTCGATGGTCTCTGAGTACCCGCAACAGCAGGGCTTTCTTCTGCTTCATTGGCATGAGAAGGTGGTGCTTTGTTCTGTTCATATAGTTCAAGCATTTGGTTGCTTACCTCTGCAAGGAAGTTTAAGAAACAGCATCATTACAAATGTCCTTAATTCCTTTTTTTGTTTTAAAAAAACAAAACAAAATCTCTTTGCAAAAGAACAATAACGACAGAACCAGTAAATCCCCACAAAGCAAGGGGTTTGAGGAAGGTGTGTCACCTTACCTTACCCCAAGCTGAAAGGTGGAGAGGATGTTCCCAAGAGAAACCCGGCTCAAAACGCAGGAGTACAACAAAGGGAAGTAGCACAAACAAAGTAATAAAATATATAAAATCAAACACACATGTAAAAACTACGTACTCAAGCACAACAGCACACGTGCAGAAACTACAAACAAGGCCCAAAGGTCTTTACCCTACCACCCTAATCCTAGATCTCAAGACGCTCTTATCTAAGGTCATACCCTCGGAAAGATATTAAAGTCGTAAGTCATGTCTAATCACTTCCGTCCAACTATTCTTAGCTCTACCCCTACCCCTCCTTGCGCCCTCTACTTCAAGCCCTTCACACCTCCTCATTGGGGCATCCATACTTCTCAATACATGCCCAACCATCAAAAATTAGCTCTCTGCATTTTAATATCCACAGAGATCACTCCAACCATCCTAGAGTATCCTCATTCGGGATCTTATCCATCCTTTTATGACCACATATCCACCTCTCCACCTCAGTTCTCACACTCGTAGCTTGTGAAGTGAGTATTCTTCACTGCCCAACAAAAAGAACACAAACACTCTGTATATTAATAAAAAAAAAATGCATGTATGCACAATAATCCATTTTGAGAATCCTAGGGTGTCTTATGGAAATTTTCATAAGCAATGAGGGCCACAAACCTAGTAAATAAGAGTGGTCAGTTCATTTAATACCACAAAATGTGTATCTATAAGATTGAATGTATATCCAAAGCAAAGCACCAACCCACCCTCCAATTGACGTGGGGTGACATCAAACTCCTGCCACCAAACCTTCTCACCGTCATGTGGAAGCTTAACTTTGAGAAACTTGGCAGCAAGAAAAATGGCACCTGCTGCAATGTGATGGGGCTTAAATTGCAAGCATAAAGATGTCCGAAGCCTGCACGTGGCTTTCCCAGGTCATCAAAAGAGATAAGGAAGGATCCCATTGGATCAATTCCATACACAACAAAACCACAATAAAGCAATCCTACCCATCATTAACAAAATTCCAAGCAACTTGAGCAAGTGCATTTTGGGCAACCTTGAATTTTTTAATAGCCTCAACAAGGGGTTTATATGGATGATGCACATTAAGGTCAAAACCAAGTGTTGCGAGAACTACCCTCTCCCCCATCAAAATCAGTTCCTTTTGTTGTTCATAGACTTCCTGCATTGGAATGTCAAAATATATTAGGTAGCTGTGATATGAAAACATCATAGACAACCACCCAAATATTTGTCACCATAGAACAAAGACTGAGAAAGAAGAAGAAGAAGATACAGATATGAAAATGATTGTGACAGTGGACCAGGATAGTATAAGCATTGACACAGTAAGCAATATTATGTTACGTCAATACCCTTTGCTTAATCCTTTGTATTGCTGCCGGGTCCTTCTTATGAATGATCTCATACGAGACAAGTATAACATCTTTCAAGGGTCGAGGTGTTTCTTCAACTTTTCCAGCAAGGAACATACATACAGTTGCAATATTCTGCAAATTATGTAAATAAATTAGGCACTCAAGTTTTCATGCCAGATGATAAACAGCTTTGCCTATAAGACAGTCAAATAAAATTTCCTGATGGAAAAGTTTAGAGACTTGTGAATGCAGAACAGAAAAGTGGCAATCACACAACAAAAATTCCACAAGACTATAAGGCATTCCTGAAAGATACATCTAGGTCGTCAAGAAAATAATAGCACGTATCAATGATAACCAACAACAAAAATTGCTCTTTTCCATTTCTAGCTCATTTAAGTTGTGGCAAATGGTCAGGATACCCTACACACACCATTGCACCCAACTAAATCTGGCATCAGCTAACACTCTATATCTAGGCTTTTAGTTTTTAACCTAGGACATTAATTATAATTACATGTTAAACAATTTAAATAAAAATAATCACATAATCTTATATTGCGTGTGGTGCTTGAGCCCGGGATGGGGGGGGTCTTTGGAAACAGCCTTTCTACTTTCGAGTAGGGGTAAAGTCTGCATACAGCCATACACACATCCTCCCCAAACCCTACTCTTGTGGGATTCAACTAGGTTGCTGTTGTATTTAATCTTATATTGCCTATAATATACTCCATCCATCCCTATTTAATATTTGTGTTGTGTTTTGCACAGAGTTTAATGAAAGTGATATTGTGGCTGAGATTTTTGCAAATGAGATAGAAATAGCATGAACCACGCAATTCTTTCTTTAAAAGAAAAGGGGGAGATTAATTGGGGACGCCTTGAAAACGAAAGATGGAAGATGAGAAAGGACATTAGCAGTATTTAATATTTTAAAATGGAATTCAGCCACTAGTTTTTAATGCTTCTTCCGTCCCGTAAAAAGGTTCCACGTTTGATTTGACACGAAAATTAATATGGGCCACAAGACTTTTCTGTAAGGGGAAAGTAGAACTTTTTTTGGGTCGGATGAACTAAAAAGTGAAACCTTTTAATGGGTTGGATCAACATGCATTACCAATCTTGAAAGGAAAAGACCATATCAATCATGCACTAACTAAACCCTTTTGGTCAATCACTTATCATCTTACTAATCCTACTCTGCCTTCCGATGAAAAATCACAAATCCACTGTGGCACATTATAATTATAAATTGGAAAGAAAAATATCATTATTGCAAAATTATAGTAATTTGATTAATAAAAGAGAAAACCATCTGACCAAATAGCAGCAAGCAAAGCATCATAAGCTGTCTCCGGCTACATTTCATAAACTTTTAGGTCGCTTGTTATATGTGTGTAGAAAGACACATACTGACATACATGTATGTATACACACACATTTTAAAACTATACTAGTAGAAATGTCTTTAATAGTTGATCCTGGCATCCATGATAAACCACGTATAAAGCCAATGGGAATCAAAATGAAAATAACAAACAAAAAATTACATGTTTCCCTGATACATAACGAACAACATCAACATCATCTATCCATCCAATTCACAACAAAAAAAGTCTCGGGGAAAACATGATAATTAAACAGAAAACTATACATGGAGCATGGAATTAATGCATAGATATAAATAATGCAGATGAATACTTGTGAATTGTTCACAAAGGTTGCACTTTATGTGTAAATATACATAATGCAGAAGAGTGTTGTTTGAACTTTCAACATATAAATGAAGTTTGTAATTGGAATTTTAACAAACACTGGGGTAAGATATAAAAGTATCACGTACCCTCCTATCATTTCTGGCATGAGATTGACGAAGAAAGAAACGGTGACAAAATATAATTGCAGTAGCAATGGTCACTTGAGGCCTGCAAGACAAAACATCCAACACCACAATTACATTCACAAGACATTTATCAAGCTTTGTGCATGCATATTATATCCTAGAAAACACAGTTTGCATGTTTGGTAAGTATATTACTCCCCCTGGTCCTACTAAAAAGAGATTTTTGCCAGGTTCTTCATTTTCGAGAAAATAAGGCCATGTTTTCTTCAATTTATTCTTATTACTTTTTCTTATTGAAATCAGATCACATCAGTTCAGATCAGATCAAGAATAGCTTTAAATATAACTACATTTAAATCAAATTAGATCAGAACTTATTCCACATCAGGTGAAGAGAACATTGCCTAAGTCATGAAGTAAAAGTTGACAAAAAAGACCCCCGAAAAACAATATTTACTACCAAGCAAAGAACCTATTTGGAAACCTTAACGGATACAACTAATAATTTTAAAACATGGGCCTTTTTCTCGTGCGACCTGCTCCCTCTATTTTTTTCTTTTTGTTCTTGTCTTAAAGATTTGACTCCACCATAACTTTCACTTTCTTTGTTCTGTTTTTTTAGATTGATCACACACACACACACACATATATATATACATACATACATACATAGAGAGATAGGGGGGTGGATACTCTTACACCACTTATAACTTTTGACTGGATTGTTTTAATGCAAAACCCAATGTAGGATTGATAGTTACTAACACATAGACCGGCATCGTAAAATTACACAGAAACCAAAATTCGTTTCATACCTTATTTAATTAGAAGAATATCAAGGCAAAATATTATTCTAAAACATGTGAAATTTTGGAGATGACACTCCCCAACAAAAAACATAAAGACACTTGAAGAATCATTTTGGAGATGACACCCCTCAACAATATAAAAACTTGAAAACACTTAAATCAGATACTGGTGTTGGAAATGACACTCCCCAAACTTAAAACACTTAAATTTTTAGAGATGTGTATTCTTCAAATTAGAGATGGTGCCCGTGATCATCAGCAGCAGCATGTTAATCCCAGCTAAGGTGTTAGAGATGGCACTCCCAAGATGCCAAAACTTGCAATCCCAATACTCAGCCTTATTTGTCCATCATCATGTTGTGAGCAAAATCCAAGAGCTTTTAATCAAGTAGACAAAGAAAAGAAACCGTTTGACCACTATGAGGATGAATTTGTTCTATATCATATACAATGAAGGATTGAATGATAGGCATTTAATGTTGAAATAACTAGGTATCAATGAAAAAACCAGCAGGCAGGATAATGAATTGCCATTGTGTGATGAACGGATTGTGGGCAATAGTGATGGATATGTTTACAAGGGAATTTGGAAGAGACTCGAATTCAATCAGAAGAAATCTCAAGCAATAAAATAAGTGGAGAAGAAGAAGAAAAGCACAAAATGCTTAGGATAAACAGTAATAATAGATACTGGTACTTCCAATGGAGGAGATAATTGTAAGGTTATAAGATATCATTATGAATGCTCTTAAAAATTCTTAAGAAGCTACATCTTATATCTTAAAGAATTTTATAGCTCTAACTACAAAAACTAGAATTTTACTCTGTAATTTTTATCACTAGTGCCTAGTGGATTTATATTTTGTGCGAACTTTGAATTTTCAAATGTGATGTGTTCTGACACTTCTACAGAGTTTGCATGAATGCTTGGTATTTATGAATTTTTATGGTGCAGTTATGAAAAACAGTCTCTTTATAATTACTCTGTAATCTATACATTAGTGTATTTGGGCTTTAAAAGATCATTTAATCCATGTTTAGTTGGAGTTTAAGGTTCACGCTTAAAAGTGCTTTGAGGCTTAAGACCAGCTTCTCTAAGACAAACCCCCACAATACCCAAACTAGTTTTTATATATTGGGAATAGAAAATGAGAAATGCCAGAAGTTACAAACTTACACTTTAAGTCGCATGCCCAAATCTTGTAAGAAAGTGCAATATGATTTCCGCAAGTAAGTTTCCTTCTTCAAATCAATGCCATCTTGTCTAGAAGGAGAATTTTCTTCAATCTCTCTCCTGGAGAAATACCAACTGCCACCACCTTCCTCTATTGTTTCTTGACTTCCCGTATCATGCAATCCATGGTGTGAGGGATCAGCAGCCATCCGAAAAGCCAAAGATACTTCTAGATTCAGAATGAAATTACAAGTGAATGAAAAGAATGTCCGTACAAACAAGATCAAACACTTGCATGAACATCATGTAACAATATCTTAGTTTTAAAACGGAAAGAGGCACACCATGGCATTTTGGGTTCCCAAAACAGAGGCACGAGGTGCAAAATAGAGGCACTGCCTCACACAAAACCATAAACAACCAAATTAAATACCAGAAACTCCACATGAAACAATAGAAAAGTCAAAACATAAACAAGATCAAATTTCAAAGTTCATAACAAAATAAAAGGTAAAACAGTGTTTTCAAAAAAATCCTTGTATAAAAATCTGAATATATTAGTGTCCAGGAGCAGTAACAATAACAAAACAGTGAGAAAGCTGACATATACATTACAACAACAGCAACAAACCGATTAAAATCCCACAAAGCTGAATAGCTTATACATAATCAACAATAATAACCCACCAAAAGAAGCATAGCTATTATCAAGGAATGATATTAGGAACTTTTTGTCAATACTCAACAAGAAATATTACATGTAGTGATGTAGAACAGATGGTGAAAACAAAGAATTAACAGCACGCTATAGGCAAGGAAGAAGAAACTCTCAATTAGAGAGAAAAAAAGACGTCGCTGAGAAAGAATAGAAGATGATAATGAAGAGAAGTATGAACAAGAAAGAGAGGAAAGGCAAGGAAATTACCTGTAACGAAGTTCTGGACTTTCTGCTATGCAACTAAATTCTCTCGGACCTAAGTACATCTATATACTCCGCCCCTTTGTGATTGATGCGCATCGCGCCTTAAATAACTATGGGTGTGGCATCCTTTTGTTTGGAAATGTAACGAGAAAATGTTTGATGGTGTTCGTCCAAAGATATTACGAGATCTCAAAGCTCGCTCCGTTCCTTTTCCAGCTTCTCTTCAATCCTGGCAGGTCCCTGCAGACAAGAAAGAGGGCCTGAACTCATGATCATCTAGGCAAATGAATGTATCACAGTCGCTAAAACAGGCCAGAACATGCTTTCATAATTCATTCATATCTTCCTAGAGAAAGTTATTAGGCAAATGTGAAACCAGGTAAGATTTTGACAAGATCTCTATTACTTGGTGTTCATTCTAACCTATAGTTTATTCATCTATGTGAAGTTTTGCAACACAAAATCCATAGCATCCATAACAGTATTGCCTTCTCTATGTTAAGAATAGTGGTATTGCTTTTCATGAACTACTAGCAACTGGGCAAATGAGTGAACCAGCCAACATGGTTTTCAAAAAAAAAAAAACAATTTCCTCTGTCTTTCTCATATAGTCATATGTATGAGCCTCCAAGTTATCTATAAGAAGATGCAGACATAATTCAAATTCAACAAGTTCAAGTAAGAAATCACTGGAAAGAAATCAAATAGCTTGGCTTTCAAAGTTCATCTTAGTGATTGATAAAATTTGGGTCTTCTCAAAGAGATCAAATGATCAATCCATTATCAGTGCTCACTTAGAAAAATGTGCAACTTCAGATTTCAAAAGGAGCTCCAGCTTAAACTTATTTTGTGATGTATTTTTGAGAAAAAAATATAAATGTATTTCAATAATAATAAAAGATAAGTGTCACATAATTATTTATTATTCATCTTAAAACATAATTGCTTTCAAATCTGGGATACTCCTTTACCACCTCAAAATAGACAGAGGCAATTCATCACTTGATCTTTAATTAAAAAATATTCCCCATGTTTATATAAGGGTTATCAAAGCCTTGATTCATGGAAAACTATATGTATATTCATCCTATATTACTTTTAGTTTCTACCCAAGTTTAAAAACAATTTCAGCACTCAAATTTTAAAATTCATGTAATATGTGTAAAGCCTCAAATTAGAACTATAGAAAAGGATGCAATAAAATTACAAACAAACCAGGAATTCAATTTAAAAGAGAGCACCGCTGCAAAAAATGGAAAAGGAACACTGGAAAAAAGTGGTGAAAGTAGTTAATACAGAGTACTTCGTTTTATGTTCTCTTTAACTTACACAATAAATAGATAAATACTACGGAGTACGTAGTTTATTAGCATTACTAAGTATACAAAAAAAATATTTTCTGTCAAAAATTTTAAAAAAATTGAATTCCAAAGATCCTAACATAAAAATAAGACAATTATCATTGAAGCTATTTACCGTCATAAATTTCCAAAAAAAAAAAGAGAGAATACCCGACATTCAACCTGAAATCAAAAGATTCTATCATAAAAATAAAAGATTGGGTAGTCTTAAAGCAGCCAACTTGAAGCGAATCAACACCGTTGCAAATGGATACACAAGTTGAGAAAGAGTTAAAGAATGAATTATGACCGAACGGAAAAGAAATGCTTAAACCTGGAAAATGAACACAGCGCCGAGAAAGATCGGAAAAGGAAAAGGGGCCTCTGGTTTCCGGCGAAGATGCAGCAGCTCTGTCTAGACGATTGAAACCCCTAGGGTTCGCTCTAAGAAACAAAGAAGAGAGAAAAATAATTTGGCTCCCCTACTTTCCTTTTTCATTTTTGGCAAATCGGTCTTTCAAGTCTGATTCCTATTCGGATTCGATCACTTTGCATATCGGATTCAAGTGAATTTAGATTCAAACTAAAAACTACATGTCCTCAATTAAGGCATCGTTCTGTTCAACTTGTTTTTTCTGCTTGTTATTTATTCTTATCAAAATCAGATCAGATTAGATCAAATCTAATTTATTTAGATCAGGTCCAATCAAATAAGATCTAAACAAGATTTATTATTATTATTATTATTATTATTATTATTATTATTATTATTATTATTATTATTATAGTTATTATTATTCTTACTATCATTATTACTGTTATTATTATTTATATTATTATTATTGCTTTTATTGTCAATATTTCTATTATTATTATTTCAATTATTAATATTATTATCATTAGTATTATTATTATAGTTATTATTGTTATTCTTATTACTATTATAATTATTACTATTAGTATTATTTTTATTTTTATTTTTACTAGTATTATTAATATTTTTATTATTATTATTATTATTATAAATATTATAATAAGAATTTTAATTTTAATTTTAATCAAATTCAGATCAGATCAAATTAGATCAGATCAGATCAAATAAGAACTTCAAACAATCAGATCAGATCAGGCGAACGAAATGCAGCTTTAGTCTTGTCACACTTGCATTTTTGCACTAAAAAATAATAAAATATTCAAATACATACTCTCTCCGTCCGAAAAAGAACTACACTACTTACTATTCAAAAACATTAGAAACTTTTATTTATTTTTGTATTTTGATTGATTATTTGATAAAATTAAATATTTTTGTCACCTCTTGTTTTATTAAAATTTTTCACATTGTTTTTAAATATGTAATTTTTAATATTACTATACCAATCTTTAAAAACCTGAACTAAAAAAATCTTGAAAGTTTGCTTTATTTTGCGTAAAATGTAAAATATTTTGACGCAGAGGGAATATATTAAAGGTATTAGCATATTTTATTTCAAAATTTTAATTACTTTTTAGATATATATTTAACAATATTATAAATGATCTAAAAATAAATAAATACTTACAAATTTTGAATTAAAAAATGTAAGATAACTATACAATATCATGAAAAATGTGTTCGAAAATACTTGTATAAGTTGATAAATTAAAAATGTGTAATTAGAAAAAAACAACTTTATTTTTAACACATTATTTTTCATAGGAAAAATTATCTCAAATAATTCCACCTTTTCGCGCTCTTTAAAAAATAATCCTACTTCTCATTGTCACCAGAAATAATTCCACCTTTCTACATGTGTGCGAGTTTTGGATCGCCGTTAAAAAGCTAACGGCCACTTAACAGAATTTTTGGAAAATGTATGTTTTTCACAAATAAATAAAAGGTGAGATTATTTTAGGCAAATTCTCTTTTTTCATTTTTTTAATTTCTAACTTTAAATTTTAATGTATTTTTTAAAAATCTTTTTATTTAAACTTGTTTGTTTAACATAAATTTGCCAAGATGTTAGAGTATATAAGCTTTGCAAGAATCATTGGACTCAACTTGATTATGTGTGATTAAAATGAACGAATTACTTCAAACGAAGTCGGTAAGTTAATTGGAGAATTTATTAACACACACCACCTATAAGAGATTCTTGAGGTTTGTGCATCTCTTTTTTTTTAACAGAAATGCAAATATATTAATCAGCAGCGTAAGCCAAAATACAGAGGTACTGCCATCTATACTACCCAATACAACTAACTGAGTTTGATAATACTCCTACTTTAATCCTACTCTTGATCTCATATAAGTATCCACATGGAACATAATTTGTTGGGTAATCTCCTCACTGGACATATGCGAACCTTGGTGCACCATTTGATTACGAGCTTTCCAAACAAGTAGATTGTTGCTGGATGGAGTATAGTCTTCTTTTTTTCTTTCCTGGATGAGCCCTTGTAACTCCTTCAAACAACTCATTAAGATTATCACCTTTAAACCTGTAAAGACACCAATCATGCAGTTTGTTGTATGTTTCTTCAGTAAAGGGACATTTGCAGAACAAATGTTGGGCGTCTTCTGGGGCAGCTTTGCATAAAGGACATGTTGTATCAATATCAAACATCCTAGACAGCCTGATTTTAGTTTGAAGTCTGTTCTTACACATGAGCCACATGATGAATTTATGTTTGGGTATTGAGAGTTTGTTCCAAACCAAGTCCCTCCATTCCACATTCTGTTTATGACCTAGTAGCCATTGGTAGCCCTTATTAGGGGAGTAGTTACTTGTGATCCTCATTTCTCTAAAGTTGTCTCTAACCTGGATAAGTTTCTTCTAGTAGAAACAGTCATCATTTTTGTTGTGATAATCCCAGATGCTAACCCTTTTGAGATATTTATTATGAATCCACTTGATCCATAAGATATCTTTTTTTATAGCAATGTCCCACACCAGTTTCATGACATTTGCTTTGTTCCAGGAGATCAAGTCTTTAAAGCCCAGTCCTCCATATTTTCTTGGTGAACATATTTCCTCCCAAGTCAGTGAAGCCACCAAGGCAATTTTCTTATGATCAGGAGTGGATCCCCATAAGAAGTTTCTACATAGGGATTGGATCTTGTTCATGACCTTTGTAGGGATTAGAAATATTCTGTTCCAAAAGTTTATGATTCCACATAGGACAGAGTTAATAAGCTTGCATTTACCAGCATAGGATAGATTCCTTGAAGCCCATGAGTTAATTTTGATGGTCATTTTTTCCACCATTCTTTCACAGTCTTTTGAGCTGATCCTAGATGCAGTGATAGCCCCCCAGGTAGGTGAAGGGGAATTTCCCTTTCTTCATGTTAACAATCTGCAGCAGCTTAATCTCTTCTTTGGCATTGATTCCCCCAAAAGTAACTTTAGACTTAGTATGATTGATGTTGAGCCCTATAGTGCATTTAAAGTGCTGCAGAGCCTTCATGATGCATATGATTGTATTCTCTTCAGCCTTGCAAGCCACTATGAGGTCATTAGCAAAAACTATGTTTATAATTTTAAGGGCTTTGCAACGAGGGTGATAACCAAACTTTTCCTTAGAAGCAAACCATAGTAGAGATCTAGTAAGGTACTCCATGACAATCACAAAGAGTAGAGGGGAAACAGGGTGTCCCTGTCTAATACCTCTACCTCCTTTAAAAAACCCAAAGCTCTCCCCCTCAAGATGCATAGAGTATGTTGTAGTAGTAATACAGAATATGATCCAACTAATGAATTGTGAGGGGAACTTCATCAATGTGAGGATCTGTATTATAGTCTTCCAACTAACAGTATCATGGGCCTTTTGAAGGTCAACTTTCATCAAGCATCTAGGTGAAATATCCTTCCTATTGTAACCTCTGGCTAATTCTTGACATAATAAGACATTATGTACAAATTCCCTAACTTCAACAAATGCCCCCTGATTCAAATGGATAATGCTAGGCAGTACATTTTTTAGTCTTCCACAAATGATTTTTGAAATGATTTTGTATATCACATTACAACAAGATATAGGCCTAAGATCACATGGACTTCTGGGCTCTTCACACTTTGGAATGACAGTCAAGTTGGTGGAATTAACTTGTTTAACAGTATCCCCTTTAGTGAAGAGAACGTTCAATCCCATCAAAAATTGATGAGAACGTTCCCTCTCAGGCATCTGCGGAAGCTTTTCCAGCAAGTCGCACGTGCAATTCCTACACGCACAAACTGGAAACCGCTCTAAATCTGCTAGGTCCTCCCAAAGCTTCTTCATCTTCCCATAATATTCCATTATGGAAAGATTCTTTTGTTTACATTCCGCCAAGTCCCGCTTCAACTGCTGAACCCTCAGTCCATTGACCACAGAGAAGCGAGCCTTCAAATCACTCCACAGATCTAAAGCCTTTTCCACAAACGAAACGCTGGATCTCAAGGTCGGATCAATCGTGTTTCGAATCCAAGAGACCAACAGTGAATGGTTTGTCCACCAATCATCAAAATCTTCTGAATCAGGATCAGGCATCTCAACCGTTCCATCAACAAATCCAAACTTCTTGCGTGCTCGAAGAGCCAAACGCAGAGATTTGGACCATTCATCATAATTACCCCCCTTCTCAATGACATGGGTCAAAATCATACCCGGATTGTCGCTCGGGGACAGATCATGCAGAGAGATACGACGACGTCGCACCCCAACTTCCTCCTCCTCTCGTTCCTCATTTTTCTTGTTGGAAATAATCTTCATGGATGCCTCTTCAGACATACCGGATGACACAGGTCAATAATGGATCGAACAGCAGCAGCAATTAAGGAAACTGCCGACGGGACGATCGATGCACTCGACCATTCTGTAAGGACGGTCGACCGTTCCGGTCTTTCGACAACAGCAACAACGACGATCGATGGACGCGATGTAAGGCAATCGCGAACCGTGGCTGCGGAAATTTCTAGGGTTTAGGCTCTGATACCATGAAAGAATTAATTGGGAGAAAATTCACTTGTATTTCTTCTCGTGTTTTCAATTTACAAAGAAGGCATATATACAAATATATATATATATATATATATATATGTTCTCACAGGTTGAGAATCCTATTCAACAAAGGAAAAGAAATCCATATATCCAAGGAAACTACCAAAAACAATATATACAAAAATATATCCAAATATTCCCCAAATATTCTCTTTCCTTTTACATAAATCTACCAATGTCTATAAAAAAATTGAATACACATACGTATATACTACGTACGACAAATATGTAAGATTACGATATGAATTATGTTTTGTTAATGCATATGTACGAACATAAAAAAAGTACATACTTATATGCTCTATTTAATCGAGCAAAGTTTATAAAATAAATAAATAAATAAATAGTTAACCAAATAGTTAGTGGACGAAGCAAAAGCTTCAGGGTAAGTTAAATTAAAGCAACACACTAACGGAAAAGTTCGTCGGTATCGCAAAATAACAATAAGCGGTGAAATATTCCGCCAATATTTCAAAATTTAAATAACACAAAACTGGCGGAAATTTTTACTGGTAAATTAACATTTTAAATCGGAACTCCTTACCTACTAATTATTTTAAAAATTAAAATGATAAATGATAATAATAAGTGTCTGATTCTTTTGTTGATATCACAAAATTTAATTAATACAAAACCGGCGGACTTGTCTGCTGGTAAATCAATATTATAATAATATTTGATCTTAGATTTTAATATATAAAAATTTTGAACATTAGCTGGAGAAATATAACCGATTTTAATATTTTATATTTTTACATTTTAATGGGGGATTTATCCGCCATTAAAATTAGCGGGGGAATACTCCGCCTATAAATTAAGAAAAATATCAATTATTAAGTAATTAATTTTTTTAATATCTAAGTGATGGATAAAGCCGTCGGTAATCACTAATTTCTTACTAGCTGGGGAAAGTCCGCCGGTAGTTTGCGGCGAAATTGAGTCCACCGCTAAGGTTTCGCAGCTAATACGCAAAATTCTAGTAGTGTTTTGTGACTATTCCAAAATTAATAGATCTAGTGTATAAAAATGTTCTCAATCAAAACAATAAATCTGGATATATTAAAGTATATAAAAGCATAATAACTATAGAGGAGGTTGAAATGAGTTTATCCATATCTTTATCAGAAATATTACTAGACCTCCAAAGTGAAAGGTCTAAATTAAAGAGTCACATATGAGTAGGTAAAAAATATTTTTTTTGAACTTTAATAACTCTATTCTTTTATGTGTACATACGTGTATGAAAGTTATATGTTTCACATATTGATAATGTAGCATAACGACTTTAATACATATTTTACTTATTCACTTTTGATTTCATATTTTTAAAAAATAAAATATTAATTTTGAAGACATATTTTACGTAAGAATATACGAGCCTGTGCGTACGGGGTAAAAACTAGTATAGTGGTATCTTGTGTAAGTGTATAACTCACGTAATCTCAAATCTTTACTTGTGGCCGGGTGTAAAGACTAAAGACCCTCATGGGTCATATGCAAAATCTTCTTTTTTATGATTGCCAAGGAAAATAATGCACACCAAAAGAAGATCATGTTCAAATTTTCACACTAATTTTTTTTTTAACTTTGATGACAATTGATGACAATTGCCACTATGACCTACTAGATCTGCCATTGCCACCCCTATTTATACTCACCATTCTTATCAATTATTTCCTCACAATCCATTCACATTTTTTACTTACATATAATATATTCACCGTTTAATAGTAAAATGGGGCTCATGTTTACAATCAAATTCCTTCCCATTCTCTCCCTTTCCCTAATACTCCTCCCTCTCATCACTCATGCCGCCACCTTCACCGTTCAAAACAACTGCACCTACACCGTGTGGGCCGCGTCGTTTCAGCCCTCGGGCGGGAAAAAGCTCAACAAGGGCGACACGTGGGCCCTGAGCGTGGCGCCGGGCACCAACGGCAGCCGCATCTGGGGCCGGACCGATTGCGACTTCAACTCGGGGAGCACGCAGCCCTGCCAGACGGGCGACTGCGGTAGTGTTCTGGAGTGCACGCGCCCGGGGCTGCCCCCCGCGACCCTTGCGGAATTCACTCTATGGGACCAACATGCCGGCGTTCGCGCGGACTTTTACGATATCTCCGTCGTCGACGGGTTCAATATTCCGATGTCCTTTTCTCCGAGGACGTCGGAACGTAATGGGAACTGTGCTTCCGTCCAGTGCGACTCCAAAGCTTGCCCCAACGGAACAGGCGTTCACAACTGCCCTCCGGGACTCGACTACGACGTTGTCTTCTGCCCGGCCGCCCAGCCAGTAATTAATTAATTACTTCGTAATTAATTAATTAAATATTGGCTTTTTATTGTAATGTACTCCTTTTATTCCAAAAGTGTGGGAGCATAATTATTATAAGCTCCTTTTTTTGGGTTTTCTACGGATCTTTCCCAGATCGTAGAAAAGAGAGTCGAACTGATCCAGTGTTTTTGGAGTTTTTGTTGTATTTCTTGCGTTTTTATGAGGCAGCGCACCTGTTAGCGCGGTCTTCTTATGTTTCACGTCATAGTCATGGAGAGTGAGTTGGTTCACTCGTGTCCTTATCTTCTCAATCAGTTATTATAATGCAACAAGTTTCTATATAAAAAACCTATCATTATTACATATGGGATTGATCTAGAAATTATTCCAAACCTTAATTCTACAGAATCGCACATCCAGAAAAAAAAAAGATTGGGGGCAAACTCACAGTAAGAAGTAGGGTGCGCAGGGATTCGACGGCAGTGCCCACGAATTTTTTTACGAAAATGCTAGGGTGCCACCACATGGGTGCACCCATGGTAGCACCAATGTGGTGGCACCCTAGCATGATCCATTTTTTTAAGGGTAATAGACAAAAACATAATTGACTTTCTCAAAATAGGATAATATGTTTTTATTTCCCAATATAGGACCATTGATCATTATTTATTAGTCATTATTCAACTAAATGTCCAACATCACTTGGACATTATTCTTTTCACTAGTCATTATTAAATCCGATTTAGGGAATAAAAAAGTTTAAGTCCTACATTGAAAAATGACTTACGTTTTAGTCATGTTCAGTGCAAATTTCACTTTTTTTAAAGGCTATATTTATATTGATGAAAAATAAATGTGAAGAATTTGAAACAAGTATTCAAATAAGTAAAAATAATACGAGTAATAATTTTAAAGTAGAAAAACATAATACTCCATTACTCCCTCCGTCCCATAAAGTCAGTCCCGTTTTGAAAAATTTGCGTCCCTTAAAGTCCGTCTCATTTCTATTAAAAAACCACTTTTACTCTTTACTTTTTCATACCCTACCTATCACATCATACTTTTTTTCTAATAATCTACTCATCACATCCTACTTTTACCCATCACATCAAGGGTATTTTTGGAAAGTCAACACAAAATTATCCCTCCTGATTTTACCACTTTAGTCAAAATATCTCAATCTTTATGGGACGGAGGGAGTATAAAATATATCATAAACTAATATAACTATGACATTTCAAATATTTTACTTGTATATCTTATTTAAATTATTATTTTACAATTTATTTGACATTGGGGGCAAATTTATTTTTTACCGAGACACTCTTTTAATACGGAGTATACCACGAAAAAAATTTAACACTACCCCGTTATGACTAATATGTTTATTATAAACAATATATATGCGAGTATACTCCATTACTCCGTTAATACTACATCCTTTCTAGAAGAATCTTTCTGTTTTGATTGAATTGTGAGATTTTTTTATATGAAACTTTGAAAAAAGTATATCAAACTATTATGTAAACTCAATATAATTAGTTTCATTATAGTATATAGTTTTGATACATCAAATTTTCATACTCTGACAACTCTGTAACATCTTATTTAAATTATACTCTCTCCGTCCCATAAAGAGATGGACATTTGACTAAAGTAGCAAAATAAAGGAGGGATAATTTTGTGTTGACTTTCCAAAAATACCCTTGATGTGATAAGTAAGAGTAGGATGTGATGTTTAGATTATTAGGAAAAAGATATGATGTGATAGGTAGAGTATGAAAAAATAAAGGGTAAAAGTGGTTTCTTAATAGAAACGGGAAGGAGATTGTGGGACACCATTTTTTTGAAACGTGAAGAATTTTTTGGGACGGAGGGAGTAGTTAATTTGTAGTCAAAGAATATCGTTGTTTGACAAAAAGATCAAAACATGAATTTTTTTTTTTGAGCTAGAAGGTGTATAGTTTAACAAAATTCTAGATGACAACATCATATTAATATGTGACTTATTATTAAACTCATTGAAACCTACACAGTAAACAAATGAACATAACATCGTACATCAAATTACGTGGAGATTTGCATATGTAATACTCTAGATCTTACTTTTTTAAACCACAAATTTAAAACAAACATAAAGCATGGATCTAAACAGGTTATTAAGATGATGTTGAATACCAGGGATCTAAACTTAATGCTTCATAATAATTTTTGGGTATTTTATCCTTCGTAGGCGAAACTTCTGCTAGCATTTGAGCAAAGTGATCTACACATCTTTGGGGAATATGCCAATTCGACCTAGCTGCCAATAGTTTCACAGAAATAGGCAAAGCTGTTTCAAAACAACCATCATAAATTGGCTGGTTCGCAGATGTCGACATATCATAAAACTTTTGATATCCTGAGTTTGGCAATTCTTCTGCCACTACGCCAAAAACAGTGTCAGACTGTTGATTAACTACGGTTTATGGAAAAACAGTAGTTAAAAAAAATCAGACTACTGTTTGTTGTTGTTGGCTACAGAAGTAGTAGCCTAGCTATTATGCTTAAAACTATTTTTAAAGTTTCGAGAAACGGTATTCTATTATTAGTTGTCTGTGTCATATCAAATTACAGTTTTTGTTATCACAGTTGTCAATAATAAGTTAAGAATACTCTTTTTAAACAGTAGTCTAGTTATTCAGTCTAGAACTGTTTTTAAAGTTATGAGAAACAATAATCTATTGCTAGTTGTCTATGTCATATAGTATTTTTGGCACTGTTGTTTATAATAAGAATACAATACTCTTTTTTAACAATAGTCTAGATACTTCGCCAACATCATCATCTAGTCTAACCCATCACCTACCTGTCTAAATCTATCTTATAGCATATGATCAATCATTTCGATCTGATTTCCCCCATCCCAATCATTTGAAGCATTGCATTCAACTCTTTGGTGTAATTTTAGCTTCTCTTCACCGTGTTTTGTCCAAATGTAGTACCCGGCTTTGAACCCATGTTTGTACAAATGAAGTCTCACATCACTTTCTTTTAGTATTTTCATGCATTTACACTTCATACATGGACATCTAATCCTCCCATCAGATAAAGAAGAAGGAAGTTCTTTCGCCTTCCTAACAAAGTCTTGAACTCCATTATGGCATGTTTGGGAATTTGGATTTGGATTTCAAATCTGGATTTCGTTCAAATTCTTTATGTAAAGTCCAATAAGAGTCAATTGGAATCATCTTTAGAACTGCTGGATAATTCTTAGTATTGTGGTTGAGACTTGAGAGGTGTTTAGCTCACTACAACCTACATGTGTTTAGTACACTTTTTTTTCACCAACTGATTTAGTATAACCCATATCTTGTTGTTTCAAATTCTGTATAATTAAAATATCCTTTTTCATATTCTGTTAAGTTTAGCATTTAATCAAACATTTGGTGAGCATAATAACAAACTAAAATATTTTTAAGTATAATATGAAGTATAATATTTTCCAACATATGTAATCACCGAAAGATAATTCAAAGTGGCTTGAGACATGAAAGAATGCATATTTCTTGAACATCAATTTCTAATCATATAAATACACTTCAAAAATTAGAGATGTCATTTAACCTAATTGATGAACTAAAACAGTATAGTCTAGAACCTGTTTATAAGTCTTCAAACGACATGGTTGTGGTCGCCGGTCTCCGATCGTCGTGGTGGGAGAAATTGCTTTCCGGCGTCGCTTCTTGTCCAAGGTCTTCGATCGGCTTCTCTGTCCTCTTCTGCGTTCCTAACTTTTTTAATTAAAAGGAATTTAGATATAAATTAAGGCTCCGTTCCGTTCAATTTATTTTTTCTAATCTGATTTGATTTTTTATAGTTCTGATCTAATCTGATATGATTTGATTGAATCTGATTTGACCTGATTTGATTTGATCTGATCTGATTGAATCTGATCTGATCTGCGCTGATCTCATTAATTATGATTTGATTTAAAATTCAAATCAATAATATGATTTGACTTTATAATAATTTTTGAAAATTGTAATGATAATTCATATTATAATATAATCAATATTTTTTATTTTATGATTATTTTTTAATGAAATAAAATTAGTTAATTCATATATTAAAATAATCATTCATATTATAATGTAATAATACTTTTTATTTTATGATTATTTTTTTATGAAATAGGTGTATTGATTTAATATTTTAATAATTAGTTCATATATACATTAGAATAAATATTTAATTCATATATATATTAAAAGTAATTAAATTTAGATAATCAATATAGAGAAGAGACAGTTTTTTTATTAAAATCTATCTCATCCTTATAAAATATCAGTGTGTGCTTTGTACTAAGAAACTTTTTTTATGATTAATATAACATCATAGATATAATAGTTGTTTCAGTTACACTAAAATATACTCCGTATATGAATATAAAATGTTTATTTTATTTAAGTCATGATAAAAGTTGATCAACTCGATGTAATAAAAGATCAAAACTTTAGAAACTCAAATTACATGTAGCAATAAAAATGTATTTTAAAAGTAGAATTTGATTGACATTGTCAATGTATTTTAAAAATAATTTTTCCGATGTTTATAAAGTTTAAAAAACAAATAAAAATATAAACACCAATATCTAATCCTAATACAAAGTTTTATATTAATGTTAAAAATTGATACGCGCATTTTACATATTTACATAAAAACATTAATGTTATAATGAAAATAAGTATTATACCAGAAGTGCAAATACTTCATAATTTTTACTCTCTCCGTCCTAAAACGTTCTTCCTAGTTCATATTTATATGATCAAACTTTAATCACTTTTTTTATCAATTTTTTTTGTTTTTTATTAAATAATATAGTCTTGTCACATCTCATTTTATAAAACTGTTGATGTAGTTTTAAATATATAAATTTTAAAATTTTAATTTTACACCTACAATCAAATAAATTGAATTGAAAATAAAGTCGTTCAGATCTCGTAAACATAAACGAGAAGAATGTTTTAGGACGGAGGAAGTATTTAAATAAGAATACTTTTGGAGTATTTAGAATCTCATAAATGTTTGTTGGTCACTCCATGCTCTTTCCCTTAAAGGGTGTGCATTTAATTTAATAAACTTTTTTTAGATTATTTTTTCACAAGCATATATATATATATATATATATATATATATATATATATGTATGTATGTATGTATGTATGTATGTATGTATATATATATATGTATGTATGTGTGTGTGTGTGTGTGTATATATATATATATATATATATATATATATAGCTTGGTTCGGATGTTTTGAGGCGACAATTTTTAATTTTTATGCCAATTATACGTTCAATAAGCGGTCTACCCTTCACCCCAACTCAACAAATTAGGGTTCCAGTTCTCTTCGTGGCAACTAGGTTTTCTTCTTGCAAATTGCTTAGGTTTCTTCACCGTATCCTCTTCTTCAATGATAATTTTTTTACTTAGATTCATGCTTAAAATATAGATCTTGACACATATTCTTAAGGAGCCCAGAGTTGGATTTTCTTAATTTTACAAGGCCCATCACATGAAATAATTTTACGTGTTGATGGTGTAAATCAACTACCCGGGTAACTGTACTAGAATGAGTCTAGGATAGTCTGCTGAGCTTAGAGAATGAAATGCGCAGAAAATAAGGAATGACTGGTAAGAGTGTATGTGGAAATACTTATAGCCCAATTGTGATTAAGTATTGAAGTTGTACAGGGGACTATTACAATATGATCCCTATAGAGATAAAGTTTGGATCCCTTCATTTGAGGGTTACAAAGGTATTTATAGGAAGCTGGGAGAATAGGGCGCCACGTGTCCACATCAGCCCACGTTCCTAGACGGCGCGAGGTGACTTCCTCCTATCCCGTAGTGTTTTGTCCTATTCCCTTGTCGTCTTGTGTTGATAACACTTCTTTGGCGTGTAGTGCTCATATGAGAATGTTGGAATATTTCCGCAATCTTTCGTTGAAATTGGTCGCTACCATCCAACCACATTTGGACCTATTCATGCCGACACTTTCACACCAAAGCAACCTACCCGGAAGGTTCACCGGTCATGCGTTTGGAAGGGACAAAATACCGCCTGCACGAAGTGATGTACTTCGACTGGTAAGCCTACATATCGTACTGGTCCGTTTCTTGAATCTGACCGATTGGCCATATTTTCGTCTTAATCATGTGTTTCGATGTTCGTGCGTCTGACTGGTCAATTGCCGTGGACCCGGATTCGGACCGGGTCTTAGGCGGAATACACCCATCAATAAAACCCTCCACTTCTCGGCCTTGTAAAATTTATCAAGGGCGGCAAGTGAAAATTTAGAATCAGGTGCTTGAAATTTGAATTTTAAGCTTTACCCGCCCAGATTTTTGAATTTCAAATTTGAGTTCTGGACTGTTGACACGTGTCGACGCTCCCCGTACACAATAATTGCATGCTGCACCCGTCTTTTCATCTTCCCGCAATTTGCCACGCGTCGTGCTATCCTCCGCCTCATCGCCTATATAAAGGGTTTTCCCCCTTTCCTTGACTCACTTTTCGTTAATTTGCTCTCGATTTCCACCCGGTTAGAGTTCTCAGCCCTCCGAGTCTTCTATCTTCCAAGTAAGTTTCCTAACTCTTCTCTTTCTTTCAAATCGCGGTTATGTCTTTTGAGGATAGTCAAAATGTTTCTACCACCTCATACGCATCTGCATTCGAGGAGATCGTCCCGTCCTCCTTTTCTTCTTACTCTTCATCTCTAACCCGGGAGGAATCGATCTTGGAGGGTGTTCCTATTCTGAATCCTGAGCTGATTAGCAAGGAACCGTGTCCCTTCGACCCCAAAAACGAGACCCAGGAATGGGAGCACCACCTGTGGGAAGCCGGTTATTCTCCCCTCCCTATCGGTAATGTTAGAGAAATCGGCAGAGTGTTTCAAAGATCGCCCTTAATAAAGTACGCCGGTTGCTTCGTGAGGGCTATAATCTTCAGTATGATCCCAACTGGCCCAATATCGTCGACCCTCACCGGGATACTAAGGTAGGGTTTCAAATTAAGTCTTTAGAGGGTGGCATAGGTTTTCCTCTTCGCCCCTCCTAGTTGGGGTCTACCACGCTTTTTCTATTTTTCCCGGAAAGATAACCCCAAACACCCACCGGTTACCAAATTATTTTGTAAATATCTGTGAATTTCTACAAATAAGTTTGTCTTTACCTCTCATTGTCTTTATGTTCAAGATCCTCCCCGGGAAGGTCGAGTGCGAGAGATTTGTTTTCTTTAAATCTCGCCAAATTAGGGCATTCATTTCTTTTCTACCCAAAGCGCAGCCGAGGGTGGAAATCTCATTTTGTGTTCATCGACTTTCTGGAAGTTGTTTTTCCTCTGGCCTGTTGAACAATGAAAATGCACTGCCAGCCACCACATCGTAGTTGGAAGAATCCTGCGAAAGGCTTTTGCAGGATGATCCCAATACGGGGGAGAAGTTTTCCTTTGGGAGCTGGGTGCGCCGAGCTAACCGGGGTGGTGAGGGTACCTTGTCGGCCCCTGAAGCAGGGGGACGCGAGGTATCCTCCCAGGGCAATATTGTAGAGGCCGGGTGCCATCCTCGCTCATGTTTGACTTCGTTCTTTTTAATTCGCTCCTTTGATTTCGTACCGGTCCGTTTATTCATACTTAACCATTTTCTTTTAATTTTTCGGACATGGAGTTCGAGGCTTACGACATTCCAATGGGGACTGGTACAACTGGCCCGAGTAACTCCCAACCGGCTTCCTTCACTAAATGGAGATAATCCCATAACTTTATTCTTAAATAAATACTCCCTCCACCCCTGAATATTTGTATCTTTTTTTACTTTTTCAATCAAGATGGTAAAATTTGATTTCATATTTAATAAAAAATGATGTTTTTTTTGAAACTCAAACACTTTCATCCATCAAAGAAAATGCAATACATCATTAGGGGGAACAAAGCGCCATTCATAGCACCCATTAACAGCCAATCTAGCAAGGGTGTGCGCGATCAAATTCGAATGTCTAGGAATGTGAAAAAAATTAACAAAGTTAAAGAAATAAGTGAGTTTTTTGAAATCATCCTCCACCGCGCTCAGATATGATCGAGCATCTACCACCTCATTTTTTAGAGCACGAACCACTTGAGCACAGTCTGAGAAAATAGAGACTTCTTGGATATTCTTCTCCTTGAGCCAAGATAGAGCTTCCTTAATAGCTGTAGTTTCCACATACCTCGGTACTAAAGGACAGGTAACACACTTGTTGAAGCCCCCGATGAATGTGCACGCCCCATCAAGAAGGGGCAGGTAATAAAAAATGATATTAGATATTGAGCAGGCAAAAACAAGAAGATAATCGAGGGGCAATCGAGTAGGGAAAAACAAGAAGATAATCGAGGGGTAAAAATAAGCAAACAAAGTTAGTTAAATTTGATCATGTAAATAGTATCTGGAAAGATCTATGCCGGACAGAGGAAGTATAAAATAAGAAGTGACAGTGTCAGTGGAACCTTGCCGAACTAATAATAGTTAAAATGTTATATTAAACACATTAAAATATCAAATGAACAAAGGCATAATTACTCGTCTTGCCACTCTTCTTCACTTCGAGTCATTCTGGCCAACATTCTTCAGCTTTTTCTCCAGGAGTCCAACTTATCACAGAGGTCAACCTTGTTTCTCGTACCATGTTTTGTGCTTTGATTTGTGTTGATTTTGAGATGACAATTATTTATAAACGAGATAATTATTAATTTAATAAGAATTGTAATTAAAAACAATGAAAAATAGCATAGTTGACAAAA